TGTTTCAATTAAACAAGTTGGTTCTGTTCTGTGATGTTCAATAGCATTAAAGTTACAAGGATTACCAACAGGGTGCAGCACTAGCACTATTATTTCTTTTACATTTATGACAACAGCTAATTTGCAACCTGGAGGCGAGTGAGCGTAGCGAACGAGCTAACCTGAAGGCAAGTGAGCGTAGCGAACGAGCTAACCTGAAGGAAGTGAGCGCAGCGAACGAGCTCCAACATACAGGTGAGTGAGCGTAGCGAACGAACTTCAACCAGGACGTGATTGAGCCATGCAAACGAGATCAGATAGTAAAAATAAAAGTAAGCCTACCGTTATAGGATCGACCGGCAGACACAGAGGTAATTTAACCTTTTATTGATTGTCATACCGATCCGGAACAACAAAAAACAACATAAAATGAAGCTATGTATAATAGTTTGGCCAGCATATCTTAAAATATGCAAACCAACTGCTGTTCTTTATATAAGAAGGTTTCAACTGAATATTATAAGATCCCCGTGCGTAGAACGGGTACACAGCTAGTTTTGTATTAAAAAAGATCGTAGTTGTGTGAGCCAGTCAAAGATTGCGCTATTGTCTAAACAAAGCTAGCACATTGCTACAAATACAGATAAAAGATAAGAACAATCGGATTAACATCGTGGAACATGATTTGCTACAAAATGAACAACCAATTAGGGTCGCCGGAATTAGGCTGGCTAATGCACCATTGACTTTATGGATATCGCAAGTATAAACATTCCATTATTTAATGTCCATCAAAACCTTTGACTTTGGACACTGCAAGTAGATTTCTCTTTTTATGTGAACCAGATGTAGCATTGACTTTGGAAAAGTGTTGGACTAATATGCTAGCTCCGCTTAATATTGCAAGAGACAACTGCATTGCGTCTTTAGTTGTATTATCTTATTTATATCGAATTATATTATCTTAGTGGTACGTTTGACACTTTACCGGCGTTCCACATGCAGTTCAACAATATTTTTCAAAAAATATGCTTTCTAATCGATCAATCCTGCGAGACGTTTGCCACCAGCATTTTTTATTTGTACTAAAAGGGATCTAGTACGTATTACTATTGACTATTTGGATACTAAAGTTGTATTAATAGTCAAAGGTATTACATTGTACAATGGTTGTACCTCAGACTATAGACCGAGATTGAACTTATAAATGATTACACCGGAGCTAGGCGGGAAATAGGGGATTGTTATATTGTCATAAAGCCACAACCAGACAGCTGAGCCCACTATGGTTTATTCCCCTATTTAAGTGAACCAGAAGTAAGCCTTCTATTGACTTTGGATATTGCAAATAGGCATTTTATTTATGTGAACCAAATAAATGGACCATTGATTTAGGATACTGCAAGTAGACAATTCATTTTCATAAACCAAAATGTACCATTAAGTTTGGATACTGCAAGTAAACAATCTGTTAACGTGAACCAGACGTACCGTTGACTTTAGAATCTGTAAATAGACATTCCGTTTAAGTGAACCAGGCGAACCATTTATTTTGGATACTGCAAATGGGCATTCCATTAAAGCGAACCAAATATTTAATCGGCATTGGAAACTACAAATGAAACATAGAATTTGGTTCCTGCAAGTAGACAGTTCATTCCGTGAACAAGACTTTTCTTTTAATTGAATTTGGATACTGCAAATATGCATTCTATTTATGCGAACCAAATATATCATTCTCATTGAATTACAGTAATATGATAGCTTTGCTCAATATTGCAAGCAGACACAACTGCATCGTATACCTAGTATACCGTAGTGTTGTTCAATTGTCTATAATCAATGGATTAATGCATGGCTGATTTTGAAATCCTCCATGTGTCGTTTCAATTACGGCAGTGTCAGCTGATCTTTTTGCCGGTCGGAAAAACCAGACTTGTTTTGTTATGTTATGTTATGTTTCAATGTTTCATTGTTTTGTTTTGGTTTTGGTCTGGTCTTGTGATTTTGCTAATTTATTTGAATAGGCCCTACCTACTGCTGCTGAATGATAAAAGTGTCAACAACACTCAGGAATATTTCAAGAGTTTTAAGTTTCATTTTTATTGGATAATCGTTTAAGTTAAACAATGAAGGTATAATTAATTACTTTTACAGTGGGCTTATGTTGTAGACTAGGACTAGGTTATGTTTATATAGTGTTGAGTCACCAAGTAGAAGTAGGTTATCCATTATTCTTTTACCCCAAGTATTTTCTTTCAGGCATTATGCATACTTATGCAAGTGGCATTCCGTTCTAGTTAAAAATACAATTTCCTATTTCACAGAAGTATATTTTGCACTTACTTATCTATACCGTTTAAAAGATTGATAGTCATAACTTAAGAGGCCTAGCCTAAGTAAGTTAACTCTTAAAGTATAAACAGATTTAAAATAGTATCATTGATGTGGCTTGTTACCTATTAAGACTAATTGGGTAGGCCTACAGTTCCACTGAGATCGTACAATATATTTTCACGTGAAATATCAGTTTCATTACACCTAGAGGATACGTGTCCGGTAACCGGACGTTAATTAGGCGTCCAGCAGTTACTTTCATAACCTAACCAACCAAACTTGCTGATAGTAAAAAAATTGAACAAAGGTTAAATTCTTTTCATAGGCCTAAAATAAAATTATAAATGCAAAAAATTCTAACAAAAGATGTACAGTTAAGAAGAATTGGCATTCAAAGCAAATTCTTTGATAAAAAGTGAAAGTGACCAACAGGATTCGAACCAGGGACCTCTTGCATATCAGCCGAGCACTCTATCTAAGGTACTAGGCCTACACCACAAACACCAACGGCTGTACATTGTATCGTTGTGGTAATGGCGTTCCGGGCCCCCACAACCTGGTGATGTCACTCCTGGACGCCTAATCCACGTCCGGTTACCGGAGGTGTATCCTCTGTGTCCATATTTTACACAGATTAAAATAATTCAATCGGTTAAGTTAGGCCTAGGCTATAATTATTGAATGTAAAACTTGATTTTCTTTAATGGGGGGAGTAGGTGTTGTCCGCCACTCTTTTACAGTGGGCTGCAGTGATTAGGCCTAACTTAGCCTAAGTTAGTTTGGTTCAGTTTAGTAGTTTGTGGAACTCTTGTATGCCTAACTTAACTTGATCTCTTAAACGAACTAGGCTACACCAAATATCAACTTTAATTTTTATAAATACAGTACCACCTTATTTCCTTATTAGGCCCTACCATAAAGTATGTTAAACTTAAACAAAATTTAACTAAGCTAAGGCATAGATAAATCATACTCCCTTGTGTTGCTTAGTCTATGGCTAAGGTACCTAACTTAGTTAAAGTATACTAACCTAAGTAAAAAACATTTGATCGATAAATTATTTGTATTTAGTAAAAACTATCTATTTGATACGATATAAATATAGGTATAGCCTAACTAATATATCATTCAATGATAAGCTAAGATCACTGATTCTCTGCAGAACTGTAACTTACCCAGGAATAATTCACACAGAGTTATATCATAGATTAAACATACTCCCTATGGTTATATGGACTACAAAAATAAGAAACCCTTCCTGACAGACCGCCACCTACCACCACCACCTACCACCACCACCCACCACCGCTCGAGCAAACAACATTATCGCAATGATACGTTGTACAGCCATCGGTCCCGATGGTGTAGTGGATAGCGCACCGGTCTGATAAATCGAAGGTAGCCGGTTCGAAAATCACCGGAGGCATTAAGTTTTTGATTGGATTTTTTCATTATCAGCAAGTTTGGTTGGTTTGGTTAGGTTATGATAGTTTAATTTTATAATTAAATAATTATTATTATAATTTATTACTGTGATAATTATAAAAAATTATCACAGTACAATGTTGTGTTTATAGATTTCCCATCCTTATGGAACAGCTGAAGCCAATTTTATTATTAGTTCTGTCCGGTTTTCTGTAGATGTTGTGTTTTTGTTACTTGTTATTTCAGTAATTTAAAACCTCATTTAACCAAATAAAACTCTCTAATCATAAACAATAACTCGTCCACTAGCTATATAACCAAACAGTGAGACACAAATAATGAGAAACTAAAATAGGCTAATAGAAACAAATTGTAAACAAAACACGACATCTACAGATAACCGGACAGAACTAATAAAATTGGCTTCAGCTGTTTCATAAGGATGGGAAATCTACTAAGGGACTATGTTTTATCCATGCAAATACTTATTGAGAATTTCACAAATGGCACAGAGCGGCATAAAAAGAACAAAGATCTAGTTAATTAAAGTTGAATGAATGATACATTCCATTTATTTTTAAAGTATACCTAAAAACAAAACATTACGTTACTGTTAGTAGTGTAGGCCTATGTTGATGTTGACAACTTATATAGGCTAAAGCTTTGGAGAAATATTTACATTTTGTTCTTTTTCAGGGCAACCTTTGGGAACATGATTTCAAACTGTCTGAGAATGTTGTTCCGGAACTGTACAATTTGTTCCTGCACCCTAACTTAGAAAAAGGAACATTCAGTGGCATTGTTGATGTTACTTTAAACATTACGGCACCATGTGATTACATTTCAATACACCACAAAGGGTTGACAATAACAAATTCTAAACTGAAATCTGAAAATGGATCCTTGAATTCCATCAAACATGCCTTTGACTATCCAAAAAATGAATTCTGGATTGTGCAGCTGAAAACTAAAATCAACCCTGGTACTTATCGTTTGATCCTAGATTTCAGTGGTTCGCTTACAAATGATATTGTTGGGTTCTACCGAAGTTCTTATAAAAGTGAAAATGGTGAAACTAGGTTTGTATCACTTAGATTGTCAGGTGAAATTTTTGCTAGATAAGTAAAAAGTTTTAAATTAAATCACAAATAAAATTTTATGCTTTTATTTTCCTTGTACTAAGTTTGTAGTTAGTTATTTCTATAGGCTAGTTAAAAATTATAAAACTCAAATAATGTAGGTATTTTTATTTTTTATAGACACATAGCAACAACCAAGTTTGAGCCGACATATGCTCGTAGAGCATTTCCCTGTTTCGATGAGCCTGCCTTCAAAGCTAAATTCAATGTTAGCATTGTTCGTCCATCCAAAGGCAACTACATCGCTCTATCGAACATGAACCAAGTGGTATGTGTGGAAAATTAATCAGATTGTTGCTCCTGTTCTTAAATAAGTCTTTTGTAAAATATGTTAAATCCGACTCACACATCGACCCAAAAGAGTAGACTAGCATGGTTATGACATACGCTACCAACTGTCACAATTTGATGTCATAACGATAAATTATATGTAGTTTCTTCAATTGCAATTGGCAATGGTAAAAAAATATTGCAATTAAAAATGATTCTCTTTGCTATGTCTGGATTTTGGATTTGCAATTTTCTTCACAGAAATTCAAAGGTATCTTTAATGTGCGTTTACAATGGCACAACTAAACTCTCTTCCAAAATCTTTAGATTATGAAAATTCTTCAATTCTGAATTATATCCTTTACTATCCTTGCAGTAACTGAGTGATGTGAACCTTGACCTCATTAACAATACATCTTGAACCATTTTCATCATTAGCTTTTCACTCAATATTTATTCACTCATTTATTTTTGAACAGGTCTTCCACTACATCCTGTTGGTGGTATCTTCTTCTTCTTCTTAGCTTTCCTCTTTTCCTTGAGTCTATACCTTTAAAAATTCATTCTCTCCACATAAACTGATCATCTTATTGAGCATTTATAATTCTCACAATATTGTTTGACCTGTATTGTTTATTGCTCCATTTCCCCCCTAACTCCCCATACTTTTCCATCACTAATTGGTCCACAATCTAGTATCTGTAAATTTTCTTCCAAAAATACCAGTGTAAAGCAGATTTACTTTTACCAACACATTTAAAGAATTAATGTGAAATCAGCCAGGTGTCTCTTTAAGAGGTTAAAAAATATGTTATTAAGCATTCTTCTCAGATGTTGTGGTTCATTGTTTTAGGAAGAAGTGCCGGAGTCGCCAGGTCCAGGATTAACAACTGTCAAGTTTGACACGTCAGTCCCCATGTCAACCTACCTTGCGTGTTTCATCGTGTGTGACTTTGAACATCTCCCCACCATCAAAACCAAACGAGGGCTCGATGTCAATGTATACGCAAGAAGTGGACAAATACAGAAAATGGACTATGCTCAGAAAATTGCCGCCTCTACCATAGACTTTTATATAGATTATTTTGGCATTGACTATCCACTACCTAAATTAGGTAGGAGAATGGCAAAATTTTATAAACTATCCAAATAGATGAAAGTAATTTGTACTAATGTAAGAAAACCAACATAAACAATTATGGTAAATGAGTAAAATTTCAGAATGATAGTGAATTTCTAAATAATTAAATATTATTGGTACAACCTTTGACTGTTGATATAACTAAACTAGGCATTCTATCTTCATGTTCAAGTTGTTGCCAGTTATTTAGGTCACTCAGCCAAAGTCCTATTTGACTAAGAAAGAGGGGGAATTTAGGTTTGAGGAGGAGATAAAGTGTATTTCGTGATTCTTAGAGTTGTTGTTAAGACATTGGGTGCGATGAAAATATCATTGGGTATTTCTCCAGGGTCTGAATTTTTTTAGAGAGGATGAGTAAATTAATAAAGTTTATAATTTAAAACATTGTCTTATACGGTTTCTAAATGTACTAAATTTAATTCCTATTTAATTATTGCAGATTTGATAGCAATTCCTGATTTTGTGTCGGGAGCCATGGAGAACTGGGGTTTGATAACGTTCAGGGAGACATCGGTGTTATATGATCCTGACTTCAGCTCCAGCGGCAATCAGGTCCAAGTGGCTCTCACAACCACACACGAGCTGGCACACATGTGGTTCGGAGATCTAGGTAATGTCACTGAATGTTTGGGGTCTTTGAACTTATCACTTATGATTGTAGATGGGTTGCTGATTGGTTATTGAACAATCAAAAGTTTGTAGGCCCAATTCTGAGTACAGTGCAACCCCGCTAATCTGTCACCTACGAGGCTGGGACCATGGCTGGAAGAGTGCAAAGGTCGGATAGTCCTGCTAGACTTTTTAAAAATTAAAACTTAATTTCCAAAAAAAAGCTGGAACCCTAAACTAAAATTATGTCTTCGACATTCCCTAGTTCTAAAAATAATCTTTCTTTCAACACAGAAATGATGAAAATCCGTCAAGTGGTTGATTCAGAATCGTGAAATAAAAAAACCCTGCCACGTTTTAGTATATAAGATTCCTAGTTTTAAACTAAAATGAAGTCAATTAGGCCTACTTTAACCAGTGAATATTCTGAAAACTTAATTAGGCCTATCCACAGCCATACCCGAAATAAACAAATTTATATGTTTGGGCTCTTCCCGCGACCCACCAAAATGGTTCCTGCTACCAACTGCTGGTATAGACAGTTACGCACAAAAATTATAGTAGTAATCGTTTCCTTCTTCAGAACTAAACCTTCAGGAAGTTTTATTTCCCCCAAGTTATTTTTGTATTTCAATACCTAACTTAAGTTTTTTCTTACTAGGATTAAGTTTAACAATATTATTCAATCTCTTTATATCCCCTCGAGGTCTTCTTAAACTATCATGTTTCAGAAATTTCACTTTATATATTTTCATTTTCTCAAAATCAGTTGTAAAACTTATCTCATCTTACTATGAATTCAAGGATTTTGGATCTCATTAAAACATTTACTGTAGAATGTCTCTTTAGGCGTAGCTGTTATTAGTTTGATTTTGATTTTCAGTCACCATGAAGTGGTGGGATGACCTCTGGTTGAACGAAGGGTTCGCCACCTTCATAGAATTCAAAGGGACGCACCACAACCATCCAGAGTGGGATATTGTAAGAATATTGTCTTTTTGTGTTCTTACTATTGTAACAATTATTATTTGTTAAATTCTCATAACAATAACCAATAGACAAGTTGTTTAGTAGTTGTAATAATGAACTAATTGCAAGTAAAGGAAAAGGTTTCAAGACCCTGGCTTTACGGCCAGATCTTTTGACTGTAAATCAATGTTAACGTTTTACGACACATTTTATCACTGCACTTCTAACTTCTTTTATCTCTTTGAAAAAATATTTAAAATTTTCAGTTAAGTATTTTTGTTTATTCTTTTTTGTTTTAGGACACGTATTTTCTTGTCCACGATCTGACTGATGCTTTAAGCCTGGACGCAACTCTCAGCTCTCATCCAATAATCAAACACGTCTCTCATCCTGACCAGATTACTGAGATATTCGATCGGATCTCTTATGCTAAGGTAAACAAATGTATTATCTAACAACGCATAATCTAGCAGTAGAAAATTAACAAAATGTTATACAAAGTTCTTAAGGCAGTTTTGATGTAGGGAGGTGTTTGGTATTTATATGGATTTATCACTTTGTCCGTTTTAGTGAAGGATAACCTACCGCATGTTTTAGTGAAGGATAACCTGCTGAATGTTTTGTAAAACTTGAAATGGGTTTAGTTGGTTCCATAACGTTGTAAAAACCATTTTCTAGGGGATTTGACTTGAACCTCATCCACGACAATTTAATTAATTAGGTGTACGATTCCAACACACGACGATTTAATTAATTAGTTGTATGATTCCAACATTTAGTAACAAATATTGTAGCAAATCCAATTGCGCCTAAGATTTCAATGCAAGAGAGACAGGACCAATCTGCAGCACATCCACCAATATGGAAGCATTTAGACTGTGAACTATTAAAAGAGTTTGTGTCTATTAAAGAATAAATTTACTAGCTCAAACACAAAAAAATAATTGAAAAGTGCAGAAATGCAAATTACCCTTGGAATGATTGCAGGGAGCTTCAGTGATCAGGATGCTGGAAGGGTTCATGGGTCCAGAAAACTTCAGACAAGGAGTCGTGTCCTATCTGAAGAACTTCCAGTATAAAAACGCAGACACCAACGACCTGTGGCAACATCTGCAGCAGTTCTCCAACGGTGTCAATGTTCCACATGTGAGAAAAAATGTTGTCTTTTTATTTGAACTTGAACTTAATAGTATATTTGATCACTAGAGGGTAGAGAGACTTTTTTTATCCGAGCTCAAGTTTTACGACCGAGGGTGGTCGGAAAATGAAAAGCGTTGAGAAGCCACTTTTTACCTGTGTGATGAACTATATTTTTTGTCATATTGCATAATTAGTTAACAAACAAGAAAAAAAAATACTTTTCATGTAAAGTAATGTAAATAAGCAGCTGTGATATCGATAAGCCGAACTATTGCCAAGAATGCAAGAACAAGGTAAAGCCTTAGCTGTTCTTGATCATTGGGCTTTCAATAAATGGTCCTGACTAATGAAACAGCTGGTCTTATTCAGTAACCAAGCTACACAAGGGATCTCACTCCAATCTACACTTGATGAGTGTATTGATCTAATTTGTATGTCAGTGCCATTCAAATGATAGTTTTCATTCGATTTTTTAGTAGCCTACCTCCTTTTTTATATCTTCATAATCTACTTTGAATTTGAGGTTTAGAGGGTAATCTGTTTTATTCTGAATGTTTGTGTTTGTATTCATCAAGCTGTTCTGTATGTGTAACCCTTCACCCTACCAATTCAAACATATTTTAGTTTGGTTACAGTATGCTTTCTTATTTGTTATTCTAATTGTTCTAAATGTTTTTGCTAGGTGATGGACAGTTGGACTCGACAGATGGGTTATCCCTTACTGACCGTAACCAGAAAAGGAGACACTGTCACGGTTACGCAACAACGGTACACTGCCGACAAGAACGCTACATTTGACCCCAACGAATCAAAATTCAAGTTAGTTTCTTGTTTAGCTGTGACATAGTTATTAGTTAACTTATCAAATCTGGTTTTGAAATGTCCAACAAAATTTAATGTAGGGCCTATGTTACTTTAAAGATTTATAAAGATGGCAACTAATGTATGAACTACGAATCAAGAACACATTGTACATCACATTTCCAGGTCGACGTAGTTTCAATTTAGAGGTGACGAAGGGTGGTAAGGAGCAGTTGTTTTGTGTACCACTCCGTTTTCTGATAGGAACTGTTCAAAGACGCTAGAGGTAAATTGACTTCCATTGTCAGAAACCAAAATCATGGGAAGACCAAATGTAGCAAATAATTTTCTAAGTTCTCTTGTGCAAAATTCTGTAGAAGTATTCTTAGTAGGTATAACCTCAATCCACTTAGTAAAGGCGTCCACAATAATAAGTACCAATGTCCTTGCATTGGACCAGCAAAGTCTATATGCAACCTTTCAACCTTTCCCATGGTCCCTGGGGAGCTAACCATGGATGATTTTGTTCCTTTCTTGGCTCATTTTGTTTCAAACGACATTGTTTGCACGATTTTGCCAATTGTTCTATATCTTGGTCAATATTCTTCCATGCACAATAGCTTCTGGCTAGGGATTTCATTTTCTTTATGCCTAAATGCCCAATATGAAGTTCGTCAAGAACCTTCCGACGAAGGGATTGTGGTATTAGAACTCGACATCCTTTGAATATACATCCGTCTTGAAGTGTTAATTCATTGTCATGGTACCCAAAAGCTTCCACTGATTCACTTTTTTCAAGTGCATATAGTAGGCTATTGGTTGAAGGTCTTTGTCGTGGGCTGTTGACTTATAAATTGTGGAACTACTAATTTGAAAAGAATCGAGTTGACTAAGTTGAAAAAGGTCACAGTTGTCCCTGCCTTTAGTTGAAGCATGCTCAGTTGGGAACCGAGATAAAAAATCTACGTTAGCATGATCCAATGTTCTTCTGTATTCAATTTTGTAGTCGAATCCAGATAAAAAGTGTGCATAATTAAATAATCTAGTAGCAGATATTGATGGTAATGTTTTTGTGGGGCTGAATATGGACACGAGTGGCTTGTGGTCAGTAATCAGAGTAAATTTTCGTCCATAACAGTACGGGAAAAACTTCTTAAGCCCCCAGTAGATGCCAGTGGCTTCCTTGTCAATTTGGCTGTAGTGCTGTTCACATTTTGTCAATCTGCGTGAGGTCTCTCACTTCCATCACTGTAACGATGTGAAAGAATAGCACCAAGACCCACCGGAGAGGCATCCGTTGCTAGTACCAGAGGCAAATCAGGATTATAATGTACAAGGACGCGATCACTTGCTAGTTCTGATTTGACCCTTTGAAAACTATTCTCGCATTTTGAGGTCCAATTGTAGCGTGCGTCTTTCTTAAGTAGTTGGTTGAGTGGGTGTAGGATTGTTGCTAAATCTTTTATGAATTTGTTGTAGTAGTTTGATAATCCAAGAAATTTGCGAAGTTCTGTTACGTTTTCTGGTCTTTTGCTGTTTAAGATGGAAGAGACCTTTTCCTTTGTTTTATGAATACCTTGAGCATCAATTATATGTCCCAGATATTGCAGACTAGTTTGAAAAAACTTACACTTTTCTCTGTTCAAGTTTTTACTTTTTAATCTTTCTAGAACAACCTTTAATCTTTTCAAGAGTTCTTCAGATGTCTTACCTTGTATAATGATGTCATCAAAAAAGCATTGCACTCCGCAAATACCTTGTAAAGTTTTGTCCATGAACTGTTGCCAAAGTGAAGGAGCAACTTTGACACCAAACATTAAACGGTTAACTTTGTACAGACCTTTATGTGTACTCAATGTCTGCATGTGTGCGCTGTCCTCATCCATTTTCATGTGAAGATATGCGTTAGAAATATCTAGCGTGCAAAATACTTTTCCTCCGTTCATTTGAGAGTGGATTTCTTCAATTCTTGGAATAGGGTTGTTCTCATCTTTTATTACTCTATTCAGTGTTACTTTATAATCGGCACAAATTCGTACTTGTCCGTTTGGCTTCACCACTGGTACAATGGGAGTTCCCCAGTCAGAATGGTCAACCTTTGTTATAATGTTACAGTCTTTAAGTCTTTTTAATTCATTTTCAACTTTACTTTTAAGGGAAAAGGGTATTTGTCTTGGTTTTACAAATATAGGTGTTGCATCATCAATAAGTCTATAGTGTCCCAGATGCTCAGGTATCTCTCAAATTTTCCCATCAAAAACTTCCTCAAACTCACTGAGGATGGTATCAAGACTTTTGGGTTGTATTGCGTTCACATTTTTTATCTCAGCCCAATCTATTGTCACTTCTCTGAGCCATTCTCTTCCAAATATAGCATTTTGGTCAATAAGGTAGAGTTTTCCAACGAATTTTTGCATCGTGTATGAGCAATGTACAAATGTCATACCCTTGGGTTTGATAGGTTCGCCTGTGTACGTTCTAAGTTCGATATTGGTTTTAAATACTTTTGTATGTAGGCCTACATTCAGTTTTTTAAAGTCATTATAGGACATTGTACTAAGGGCTGCACCTGTATCCAATTCCATTGGTACAGTTTTACCTTCAATCGATATGTCAAGAATGAATTTACCTTTATGTCTGTCACTTAGTACATTAATTTCATGTTCATACTCACTGCCTTTCTCCGAGCCATCTTGAGTCTGGTATTGCTTCAAATTTCTGTTAGTCTGGTTCTTTTTCTGTAAGCATACACAAGCTATGTGTCCAATTTTTTTTAGTACATTTTCTGCATTCAGCATCTATAAATTTACATTTGTTAGCTCGATGAGAAGGTGAACCGCATCTGTAACATGTCCCTTTTAGATTGTTACACTTTGTGTTGGGTCTCGTGCCGGTTTCTTGAAATGTTTGTCAATACAACATTTTCTTTGGCTTGTTCCTATCACTACTATTGGAATCCAACCTGTTCAAATCAAGGTGTTCCATTGTTTTGCGACATACAGTTTTGCTCTCAGATTTAGCTAGTTCCATTGCCGACGCTTCGTTAACAATGTATTTGTACGTGCGTTTCTCTCGTCCTTGAAGAAGTTTGGCTCGAATATCTATGTCATTCAAACCACGAATAAACTGAAGTTTAAGAAACATCTCTGCAACCGACTTTCCACAATCACATTAAATTCACAGTTGCTGGTTAATTTCTTAAGTGCTATTGAGAATTCATTTATGGATTCATGTTCTTGTTGAGTACGCGAAATAAACTTGTGTTGTAAAGCCCATTGACTTGGCTGTGGTTCTACAAAATCTTTTAGTATCCGAACTAACTCACTGTAGTCTTTTGTAAGTAGGTTTTCAGGTGCACATAAATCATAAAGTTGTTGGTGTAACTGGGGTGTAAGAGCGTGTAGTAGCATGTAAACTTTAGTATTACCATCTGTACTTAGATTTTTAATGTGTAAGAATATTTCAAGTCTCTTTATGAAATTTGTAACCGTTTCCTCTGGGTGAAAAGGTGTAAAACTTATACTACCCGACAATGAGGACCCGGTAATTGAACTATGTGTCGCCTCAGATGGATTGCTAATTGGGTGAAGTGGTGTAGACCTAGTGTTGGGACATTCATTCTCAATCAACTCTTGAAGCTGTGTTGTAAGATTTAAATACTTATCCTCGACATTACATCTACATTCTATTTCATGGTGCAAGTTTTCTTCATCGGTTAATGTATCAATTTGGTCCTGAATACTTTTGTAACGTTCCCACTGGTCAGCAATTGCTTTGAGTTTAACACTCACCTCAGTCAATGTAAGACTACCTTGAGACTGGAATCTTTCTGCCTTCTTCAACTGTCCTTTTACTACAGCTCGTGCTTTCTTTAGATTATTTAACTCTTGTCCATCCATTCTTCGTTTTCCTCGTCACCATTGTTACATTTTCAAATAATAAGTAAATTAGTTCAGTGGAATCAAACTCATGCTTTAATGTAAACAGAAAAACTAATACAAACAAAACAAATGCAAAATAACAGGTGATCATTAATTCACATACACTTATGGTCTAAAGTCAGTACATCAGTTAAACACACCAACATCACATTTCCAGGTCGACGTAGTTTCAATTTAGAGGGCTCATGTTTTTGAGATTGACATTACTAAAAGCGTATTAGTGGTACTCTCGAGGCAACCCCTTTTTTCTTCACTTTCAGTTCAGTACAAAAAAAATGATCCATCCAAAGTAAGCTTCTATGTACAGGCTGTACTTAACAAGTATGCTGAGATTTTTTTTTGCCCCACAGCTCCTTATCTAGTTGTAGAAGGTAATTTGATTGAGGTACTGTAAACTACCATTACAAAAGTCCCTATACACTGATGGAACCAACCTCTCTTCCAAAAATGATTTGGATTTATCATGGCATTGATAAAAGCTTGAAATAACTCCTTTGATTTTATATCCTACCCATTTGGGAGGTTTGGTGGAATGAACCCATAGTTGGAACAATGTACTTTACTAACTCGATTTCACTGTATGTGAAAATATTGGACGTTAATCTTGTCTTTTCTATAATAGCTAATCGGTAAAACAATACACTAACAATACGTAGGTCTAACATTTACAATTTTTAAGTCCAACTTTCTTTTTTAGGTACAAATGGGATGTCCCTGTTACGATTTTCACCTCGTCTAACAACAAACCAACACTGAACTGGCTTTTGATGGACAACCCTTCATGTAAGTACTATCCAAGCAATCTCAACTTTTGTGGTTAAATCTCTGTCAATTTGGATTTCATTCAGAGTCATATAAAAGCAGATTAGTTTGTTGACTATTTAGCATTCTACATAAGATTTTTGTTTTATTTGCAGTAAGTATCAACGTGAGGGGTGTGGACTGGTACAAACTCAACTACCATTTTGTGGGCTTCTACAGAGTCAACTACCCTACAGAGGATTGGGCAACCCTCACAAAACTGCTCATGGATAACATTACGGTAGAAAAGTTGGAATTTATAGTTTTGGTTTTTTTTTTTATATAAGCACTAAGAAAAAATTAACAAATTGTTTTGGCACTCAAACCTTTAAGGGATGTTAAATGGTAGATCTACAGGGGCGTCATTTGGGGGGGGGGGCATGGGGGCTTTTGCCCCCCTGGTTCCTGGGCTAAAGAAAAAAATATGCTGTACTAGCTAATATACAAATATTTTCTACTGTCAAATCCTAAAAAGCACGGCAGACAAAAATCTGCCCATTCTTATTCGGTAATTTGAAACAGAAATATTATTTTTTTTATGTCTCAGTAGCACATTTTGAGTTTGTATAAATTAGTAAAGTTTTGTTATTCATTTACTTTCTCTGTTCAGTTCTGTACTATCAAACACTTACTTCTAATTTATAGTATATACAAACATACAGATTTTTTAGAATCATTGCTTTGTCATTTATTTTTATGAATTATTTAAGCATTAAAATTATACACGTGTATCAACTTACGTAATTTATTTTGAACATTATAGACCACCAGTTTAATATAGTTAAATAGAACCTTTTGTACTTTTGTGTCAAATTATTTTATTGATAACATTTGGTTTGCTTTTAAGTACTTAAATACTTGTGTTTTATTTAAAAACCAAAATAAACTGTTATAAACTACAGGCTATGAATACAATTAATTGTATTCATTGCTCATGTCTAAATTTTCTACAAGAGAAATTGGTCATGAATCTAATAACAAACATAATATTAATACATCATGGAACTCTTGATCACGTTTAGATGTAGATGACTAACTTACCAACATATTATTATGTTTCCATCTGTTGTGGATAATTGTTAGTTTCATTAATTTTCTGCCTGAATTTAAATAAATTTACTAATAATTTTGTTTTTCAGGGTGTCTAGTAGTCGGGAAAATCGGGAATGTCGGGAATTAGTATTGAATTTCAAAATGGTCTTGAAAAGTCGGGATTTAGTCTTAAATTTGATTTCAAAGTCGGGAATTTTCATGATTTTGCTGCGATCGTCGTCTTGCGTTTAAGAAACCGCAAAAGCCAATGATGATGTTTACACGGCCTCGGGAAATGTTAACGATCTTGCATCGATAGTGTACGACGATGATGACGTTTCCGAAACCACGAGAGACGACAATGACGTTTCTGTGACAGCGGGAGACTACGATGACGTTTCCGTGACCGCGGGAGACGACGATGACGTTTCCGTGACCGGGGGAGACGACAATGATGCCTACACAGCCGCGGGAAAGGTTCATGATTTTGCCATGATCGCGGACGACGACGATAACGTTTCCGTGACCGCGGGGGATGACGGTGATGTCTAAACAGCCGCGGGAAATGTTCATGATTTTGCCGCGATCGCGGACGACGACGATGGCGTTTCCGTGACTGCGGGAGACAAAGATGATATCTGCTCGGCCACGGGAAATGTTCATGATTTTGTCACGATTGGGACGACAACGATGACGTGTCCGTGACCGCGGGAGATGCCGATGATGTTTCTGTGACCGCGGGAGACGACGATGATGTCTACACGGCCGCGGAAAATGTTCATGATTTTGCTGTGTTTGCGGACGATGATGATAACGTGTCCGTGACCGCGGGAGATGACGGTGATGTCTGAACAGCCGTGGGAAATGTTCATGATTTTGCCGCAATCGCGGACGACGACGATGACGTTTCCATGACCGCGGGAGACGACGATGATATCTGCTCGACTGCGGGAAATGTTTATGATTTTGTCGCGATCGCGGACGACGACGATGACCTTTCTGTGACCGCGGGAGATGACGACGATGTTTCCATTACCGCGGGAGACGACAATGATATCTGCTGAGATGACGGTGATGTCTGAACAGCCGTGGGAAATGTTCATGATTTTGCCGCAATCGCGGACGACGACGATGACGTTTCCATGACCGCGGGAGACGACGATGATATCTGCTCGGCCGCGGGAAATGTACATGATTTTGCCGCGATCGAGGGAGATGACAATGACGTTTCCTTGACCGCGGGAGACGATGATGACGATTCTATGACCACGGGAGGTGACGATGACGTTTCCGTGACCATGGGAGATGACGATGACGTTTCCGTGACCGCGGTAGACAACGATGATGTCTACACGGCCGCGGAAAATGTTCATGATTTTGCTGTGTTTGCGGACGATGATGATAACGTGTCCGTGACCGCGGGAGATGACGGTGATGTCTGAACAGCCGTGGGAAATGTTCATGATTTTGCCGCAATCGCGGACGACGACGATGACGTTTCCATGACCGCGGGAGACGACGATGATATCTGCTCGGCTGCGGGAAATGTTTATGATTTTTTCGCGATCGCGGACGACGACGATGACCTTTCTGTGACCGCGGGAGATGACGACGATGTTTCCATTACCGCGGGAGACGACAATGATATCTGCTCGGCCGCGGGAAATGTACATGATTTTGCCGCGATTGAGGGAGATGACAATGACGTTTCCGTGACCGCGGGAGACGATGATGACGATTCTGTGACCACGGGAGATGACGATGACGTTTCCGTGACCATGGGAGATGACGATGACGTTTCCGTGACCGCGGGAGACGATGATGACGATTCTGTGACCACGGGAGATGACGATGACGTTTCCGTGACCATGGGAGATGACGATGACGTTTCCGTGACCGCGGTAGAAAACGATGATGTCTACACGGCCGCGGGAAATGTTCATGATTTTGCCGCGATCGCGGACGATGACGATGACGTTTCTGAGACCTTGGGAGACGACGATGATGTCATTGATGTCCACAAGGCTTACTTGAAAACACCAAATTATCATAATACAAATTTATGACAAAGAGGGGTTGGTGTAGTATTATTCAGAAAATTTGGTTAAGCTATATAAATTGGTATCGGTATCAAGAATCGAGAATTGATTCATTTTGGTATCAACACCCACTAATTGTTGAAAAAACTAGTCTTGAAAATCTGGAATTAGTCTTGAAAAGTCTGGAATTAGTCTTGAATTTTATAATGGAAATAAACTAGACACCCTGGTTTTTATTCGCAGTGCTTTCGACAACTAAAATAAGCTTAAACCCCTCTCTTTTTGTTTCTGAGCTGCAAAATTTTCCAAAATTCCATACCCCCAAACCCCCCGGTGTTTCCCCCCCCCCAAGGATTTTGTGAAATGTCACCACTGTAGATCTATATACTTATTTATTCTGCAAGAATATTTTGTCAGCAGGACCCTCTCTCTACAGTTATGAACTGATATAAAATAAGTAAGATGTGGTTGGAATGGATTTAACTGAAGGACAGAGCCCGAATTGCCTTTGTCTTGTGTGTTCGTCTTTTGTAAGATTTAAAATCGTAGAAGAAACTTAAAACACAGGTGAATGACCCAAGTTTTTTTCTGTGTATAACTGTGTTTTCATATACATATTCACATTGTAATTGTACTTATTATTTATATATAATTTTACCACGGATCTCTGTTTGTAATTCCACAGGCGCTGGATGCGGCAGACAGAGCCAACTTGATCGAGGATGCCTTCAGTCTGGCTGAGAGTGGGAGGTTAGACTTCAGTGTGGCGTTGGCTCTGACGGGGTTCCTGGCGCAAGAGACGCACATTGTGGTGTGGGATCTGGCATCCAACCATCTGCTGAACATAGACGCTCATCTCTTGTACACTCCTGCCTACTCTGACTATAGGGTGAGGATGAGTAGTGTACTAGTTTCACGACTACTGTCATTTCAAATCACCAAACTAGTATTTTATTCGTTCTGATAGCCCCTGGGTTATGTGTGTACGAGTTTTTATATTCTGGCTTACAATCATTAAATTTACATAATTTAATTTCATAATAATGATAATAATGATAATTTAATCATTTAATTTTAAGCCTACATGTTTCGTTCGCAATGCAACGTCATCAAAGCTTGCAACATGTCAAAACATCAAGTTGCACTAAACAGTACACAACACATAAACACACAAAACTTGATAGCGCTATTAATTTTTCAAAATTCATGTTTTCGGCCCCTGGACTATATTGTTAAGACAATAATAGGTTTTTTACATACCTCAGTCAAATAGTCCAATAAATGATATAGCTCAACAGCTTACATGTTTTGTTGCAAAGACAACATTTTTTTCTGTTTATAACTGCGTTTTCATATATATATATATTCATATTGTAATTGTACTTTTTTATTTATATATAACTTTACCACGGATCTATGTTTGTATAAATGTTGTCTTCGCAACTGTGACGGGTAGTCACCAAAAATTATTTTATAAATTTTGGGATTATATTTCAAAAGTAAAAGACCTGGTAAATGGATTTCACAATGCATATACCAGTGTCAGAACATTGGCATTTAGTAGACAGAATTCTTGATGACACATAGCTTGCTCAATCGACCGACCCACAAAAACCGTAGACTTAGCAATTGTACTTTGGAGAGACTGAGGTCGGAGTTGACCGAAAGGAAGACACTTGGCCCCAGTCATCTATAGGGGACACTTCGCCGGTCTCCGGGTTTTTGGTAAGGCGATTACTTTTTAATATTTCAACTTTATAATTTTTGTGATTGTCCAGGCTAACTTAACCTTTTAAAGTCAGTGATTGATTGATGTTAATCGTAATCATTCTTATAATAATAGATTTAATTTATAATTTGTGTGAATAAATATAGTGACTATTAAATTCCTGTTTGAATATAATAACGTGTCAAAAAGAATTATAATTATTAGAGTGTTATATATAAATTTCATTTGCTTAGGCCTACTTAAATAAAAGGAGCCTGTAATTATTTTATCATCCATTTTTATTATTGTCTTTATTATTATCTTTATCATATTGTCCATCCACTTTATTTGAATAATGATTAAACATTCTTTTACCTCTCACTAAAGAATTCTTATTATTTAAATCGATCCCGGTTACGCCCCCGGTCACAATTCCAATCGTGGCACAACGAAACATGTAAGCTGTTGAGCTATATCATTTATTGGACTATTTGACTGAGGTATGTAAAAAACCTATTATTGTATTAATTTTTCGTCTGTTTACTGTACAGTATAATGTTAAATTTTTATGTTTTGATGTTTCTCGAGCTCTGATGATGCAAAACATGTCAGCTGTAAATTATTGAAATATTTACATAATTTGCAGAACTCTCCAGTAAGTCATATCCTCAAAAGTCATATTTTATGATCAAGTAACGCAACATGCTGCGTGCTGCCAGCACATAAACAAATAACTAACCCGAACATTTTTGATTTCCAGCATTACCTGCGAAAACTAATCAGTCCTCATATCAATGACTCACTGTGGAATTTCTCTCCTGATGCAACTTTTCTTCAAAGGTAAAATTCTACAAAATATAAATAGTATTGTTTTGTTGTAAATTTTGTAATTGAATACACTCCTTAGGAGGAACTTTATAATATTGTATAAGTTATAATCCTGATCAGTATACATAGGTGTTCTGTGACGCACAACATATCAGCACTATGAAGTCTAAAAATAAGCTAAAATATTGTATTTTTAATAGAAATTCCTAAAAGTTGGGGGGACTTAACCCCTCTCCCCCGTGCCTTCCCTACCGGACCGCCTATGTCAGTATATTACAATTTTTGTTGTTGAACTTCTAATATGTTGGGTTTTATTGTATACATATATTATCGTGGTTTGATTTTTTTCAGATCTCAACAAGTGAAAATGATTTCACTAGGCTGTAGGGCAGGAGTGCCTGCATGTTTGGACAAAGTCAAGCAGATGTTCAACACGTTTCTAGAGAACGGCACCAAACCCCATGTGGAGATCAGGAATGTTGTGTATTCCTTTGGTAAGTTGTCGATACCTTTTCAAAATGAAAATAATGTTTTTTTTTATTTTAACTATAAAATGACTAATGAGTGAAGTTGTTGATCAAACACCTACATCAACGTTTAAATCATTTATAGCTGACACATGTTTCGTAATACCATAGTAATGAGATAGTACAAACTGCTTGTTACAAACCAGCAGAATGTTAAACATTGCATACGACTAAGTCAAAGAGCTAACATATCAGATGCTAACGTTTTGCTAACAGTGAATGTAGACTGGGTATAGTATAAATTTTTTGTTTATGAGGAAATGAGCTGATCTGTTCAGGGCGGGACTTTAGTACCTAAGGCTGTGAGTTAAAATCCTGCCAATCACCAAGGGGTTCTATATAAGGGATTATGCTGCAACCCTCTAGGTTTGGCCTGAAGTATGTAACATGATCGGAGCTAGAGCTTAGCGTAACAGAGACATAACAAAATTATTATTATTTTAGGTATGGCTGAGAGTGGGGAACAACAATGGGACCGTATGTGGGACAAATATCTGGCAGAAACAGATCCTCAAGAGAAGGGACGACTACGCAGATCTCTTGCTACGATCAAAGAGCCTTGGATTCTTGCTCGGTCAGTATCGTCTAACGTATTGTTTTGTAGATTAAGTATGTATAATTTGTTCGTATGATGTATGAGTAGGTTGCCAAATAGGATAAGTATCTCAAAATCCTACGGAGCTCACTACCATTACACCCAACAGCTAACATTCTAAAAACAAAACAGCTAATATCTCAACAGATCAAACTATCTAAAAATAAGATGTGCTCATACATGATAAGTTCAGTACACCTTTAAAGTATTTGGGTATGAAGTGACACCTAAGTGTGTTAAAGTGTTGTTCAAATAATAGTACAACACACTTAACTTTACACTTAACTTTAAATACAAAATAACTTTAGTACATTTTATTGCAATTCTCATCAGTAATAAATTGTTCTTTCTGTTAAAAAGCTAACGTTTCTAGATCTATTTTCAACTGCCAGACTCATTAAGTTCTCTCACAACTACATAATCAATGTGGCACTATTGTGGTTACTCACGGACTGATGATTTCTACCTCTATGTCCTTTAAAAGTCAAAAGTCCAGACGAGAAGCTGCTTACACTTTATTCATCTTTAATAGTAAAATTTCAGTTTAACCTGTGTTTCCTTGGAAACAATACAATACAATGTTCTTTATTGTTCATTCTTTAGAATTACAATAGTTTCAATACAATAGTGAATTGTATGTGTTAACTAGCTGTACCCGCGGGCTTTGCCCCGTTTTACTTCATAAGTGAGCTAGTTCGCATGGCTCAATCACGTCCTGGTTGAAGTTCGTTCGCTACGCTCACTCACCTTTAGGTTGGAGCTCGTTCGCTACGCTAACTCGCCTCCAGGTTGAAGTTCGTTCGCTACCCTCACTCACCTTTTGGTTGCAAATTAGCTGTTGTCATAAATAAAAAATAATAATAGTGCTGCACCCTGTTGGTAATCCTTGTAACTTTAATGCTATTGCACATCATAGAACATAACCAACTTGTTTAATTGAAACAGCTGTTAAGATTCATTAATTCCATTTAAATATGAGTACTCCATAAGGTTAACATGGGAAACTCCAGAGCCACTGGGGCGGAGCCCGAGAGTCCGATCAGAATAAAAACAACTTAGTTTTCCTATTTAATGCCTAAAGAATCAGTGTACCAAATGTCAGCCTCCTAGGTAATGGGAAGTGGGAGAATTAGTGATGAGTGAGTGAGTCAGTCAGTCAGTCAGTCAGTGAGGGCCTTGCCTTTTATATATATAGATTCCATAATTTTTGTAAAATTACTTTATTGTGTAGAAGGGTCTTGCGATTAGCCACTTCTTCAATTCCTGGTGTAGCTTGTTGCCAGTCAGGTCTCTCAGGTAGTCAGGTAGATGGTTCCTCAGTTTGCAGCCGGTGTAGGAAGGTTTTTTTCCCCAAAGAGTTGTTCGGTGAACTGGTAGGGCAAATTTGGAGCCATGACGGGTGTTGTAGTGGTGCAGGTCTTGGTTTCTTGGGGGGTTCACAAATTACTTGTATAAATAGGTAAATGTTAAAGCATAAATAATGTGTATGGTATAAGATTCAGTTGTGGATTTCCTAAAAATAAAATTACTTAACTTTTTTTTGTATAAAAAAAACATAGAATTTTTATCCAATTGATTTATTTCTAAATGTGCATCATCATTCCATGATGTATCGATACTTTGTTTTAAATATTATTTTCACAGTCAAATATTTGCATGCATTTTGTTTAAAAATTTCTTTTTTACTACAATGGTTGTTTAAAATTTAAAAAATGCATCACCCACTTAAATAAATTAGATTATTAAGCACTAATTTATTTTTCCTTGTGAAATGCGTAACCAAATTCAAGTTTATGTCCTTAAGACATGTATGTGTTGCAACATGTTCAGACACAAGGTCCCCTGCTTATACTTCTAGTTTGAGGTTATGCTACCTTTGCTAACTAAGTTGATTATTTGGTTCATAGGTCGAGGGTCACGACTCCTCAATGCTACACTAATCGAGTCACTTTACTCGTTCGCCCTCCTTCTCTGCTACTGCCCAAAGACCTACAGTTGTGTCTTAATCATTTCCCTTCTCAAACCCCACAAAGACACCAAAATCGTCAGAAATCTTCCTCTATAAGTCCTTACTATCCCTTTATGGCCGTACCGCTCAGACTCACTTCCATGGTACCTCCTCCATCTTCTTCACCATTCATTCAGCTATCCCCCTAAGTTACACAATCAGCCCCCCTTGTGCTTTCTGTATGTCCTTGGCCTTCCATCTCCCAGTTCCAATGATCCCAATGACTCCTGCAGCCTCACTCAGTTATTTGTTTATGTTACAGGCTGATAGAAAGAGCAAAGAATGAAGATTATGTCCGATCTCAAGACTACTTTGGCTTGATGGCTGCAATTGCTGGAAACCCAGTTGGCAACAATCTTCTGTGGGATTGGGTCAGGTAATCCTAATCTTGTAATTTTTTTGGGAGTTAACTGCAAACACAAGTTGTTCATGATTTTGATTTGTTTTTCAATCTCAAACCAAACTAAATGAGAGATATGCTGCAGGCAAAAAGATATCGCAACGTTTTAATTGGTTTATGACGTTTATGTTCTGTTAAATCCTTCTTCCTCTCTTATCATTTTAGCATGTTCAAGAGTAAATTACACCTGTACATTTTGTACAGCTTTGCATTTCTTTCATGTACGGAAATGCTACATATAAATAGTCGCAAATCAACAGCCAGAAGGTAAAACATTAATATTTGACGTTCCAGTAGTAGTAAACAAATTCTAAGTATAATCACCATTTTAGATTCATATATCACCCTTTACTCACCAAGGTGTAATTAAGTATGTTAAGGTGTAAGTAAGGGGGTGTAATTTCTCCCTTACTTATATATTGTTGATACTTGCTCTAAGTTTTCCTCAGATTAATTTGGTATTAACCTTAACAGGGCTAACTGGCAATACCTAGTGGATAGATTTACCCTCAACAACAGAAGTTTTGGAAGACTGTTACCCTACGTGGCTGGAAGCTTTTCATCAGACATCAAATTGAAGGAGGTAATTTGGAATTCATAACTTGAGTTTTCTCATAAAATAGTTTCATTTTTTACTTTTAGATGCTGAACTAGGCGTAACATCTATATGGACCAGCTGTGGCCATTTTTTTATTAAAAAGAACAAAGTTGAATGAACAGTCTAAAATTGTACTTTATTTCTCCCGTAGTTTTTGTCACTTTGATGGTTGCCGTAACACAGAAAAAGCTGTAAGCCTACAATAAGTTGTCCTTTCAGTTTGTCTTGGTTAATTAAAGAGTTAGCTAATTTGATGGAGATTGGTAATTTAGACCAGTCCCAGCATATCAACTCTGCTGGTTGGCTCAATTCAACTATGTCCACCTTGATTGTAAAACTGGTGGCCATTTTTTGCGATGACGGAAAGTAACATAAGGTGTTTGATAATCGTCCTGATTTAGTGACAGTACATTTAACTATTCACAGGTGGAACAATTCATTGCTCAACACCCTGAGGCAGGAGCAGGGGAGGCTGGGAGAAGAGCTACTTTGGAATCCATCAAACTGAACATAGCTTGGCTTGAGAAGCATCTGGCCCCACTCACCGAGTGGCTAAAGACTGCTTGAACTCTTTCTGTTCCTTACAATTAAAGTATTTTGTAATTTAATGTGTTTCTTTATTACTCATAACAAATTTCCCCATAAGGATTTGTCATGGGATGGAGATAGCTTTAACCTATTTAAAGAGAATATTGGTGAAAAAAAAAACAGTTTGTCATCCCCTGGACAGTTACCGGTACCTGATTTTTCAGATAGGTAAGCTAAACGCTAGTCTACCTTTCAATTCGCATCAGATACATTATCATTCAATTTACATCAGTAAGACTAGGAATGCGCTTTAGGATTGCCAAATATTTTTTTTTATATTTTAATCCTTGACATTTTAGGAAAACCAGCTATTTTGATATATTGGGTTGCTAGTATTAATTTAAAACATTGTATTTACTTTTCATGAGATTCATTAAATCTGTCATCTAATTGCTGAATCACAGTACAACTTATTGGGACATTTCAAATAAAGATCAACAATATTGTTTACTCAAATAGTTTTTTATTTACAATATCTCTACAAACGTTAATACAATTTACATTGATAAGTACATCAGTGACAGCTTTGTCAGATCTATAGATTAAATGATAATATTGCTTGTAAAATTACAAATGCTGATAATACTGTCTTAGTCATGTTCAAGTTATAAAAATACACAAGTACCTACGTAAAGTCTGATAACATATTTTACAACTAAATAATACATAACAAATAGCTTTTAATAGTATTACCGTATTAATAGTCAAAGGTATTACGTACCGGTACAGACTGTTGACATTCTGTTTTCAAACATAGAGCAAAGAAAGGTAGGGATCTAAAGTGCATTGAATAGATAGAGCTCGCTAAGACTGGTTTTATGCACATCAGCAGCCACTGCTCGTATGACGACTGACCGAATCAGTCACAGAGCACGTAGGGTTGTGCGAAGCAGCAAAAAAATTTTGATTTGATTCAAAAGATTTTCGACTTGAATTTATGCAACTCGATTCGAAGCAACACGGCATTTTTCTATTCATACTTGTCAATGGAGTGAAATAACAATAGGCTAATAAAAATTTACCACATTTGTGTAATGCAAATTTTTGTTGATGTGGTATTAGGCCTTTTCATAAATATGACACATATGAATTTTAGGTTAAAAAATCGTATAATCATATTAGAAGAACCTGTATTGCTGGAAATATCAATGAGCTGCTTTACTTGCCTATTTCATAATTTTTACTTGCAGAATCATATTGTTCATGTTACCTATTTTATAATAATGATTTTACTAATAAAGATATGTTTTGGTGTGTAAACAAATAAAAACATTTGCAAGATTTATACTGCAACTTTCAATTGGTTTACATTGATAAAATGAGAGGATAGAATCAGACCTACAAACAACAAGGTGTACATAGCTTCAGACCTATAACAATACCAAATTTATCAGTCTAAAATATCAATCTTACTAGTTAAGTATCAAGTGCCAATTTTTAAGACTTGTGTTAATGATTTTGTAGTGACTTGTTTTGGCTATGTTTACAGTGCTAAAGTATTTCTCACACTACTTCACAAAACTTCTTATCATTTGCAATGTCAAAACAAAAAATGATAAAATAATTAAAGCAATATTGACAAGCAAAGAATTAGTTAAATAAGAATGCCTTCGCAAAGGAAACGCAAAAAGAACGCGCTCCTGTATTGCAGGTATTGTGTTGACTTTCTGCAGGTGTTTTTCGTATAGGCATAGTGACTCCCTCATGAATCGAATCGTTTTTTTTATCACCACTGAATCAAATCGTGATTCGATGCATGGAATCGAAATTTCGATGCATCGCACACCCCTAACTGAGCAGCGACATTTTATTTGGTGCTTAAATCTCACAAGTGTTGGAGGGGGGGGGGGTCGTGTGCTCAGAAAATGATTACAATATAATATGACTGTAGTTTTACACATTAAACTATGGACCTTATCGTGTTGTATACATTTTAAATTAAAATATTGGTAAAAACAAAAACCATTCAATATTTCATAATTAACTACAGTGAAAAACAAAATGGAGAAAATACTACATAGAGTATGGAAAATATGACTGCCGCTGTGCACAAACACACCAGTTTGATTCAAAATATTAAGGAACAAGCTAAACTTTTTGCAGAGGCGTTTCCAAAATCTGCTGTCAGTGTTTAGAGAATGCAACGTTACATTTGTGACATTTTTCCTGCCGCCATAAATGCCTTTTCACTCAACAGAACTTGAAATGTCCAGCCACTGTAACCATGCATAAAACCAGCCTAAGACTGCTCCAGTCATAGGCCATCTCTAGGTTTAGTTTAAAAGAATTATATATGGATAACAACTACTGTATGACACTTTTAGAAGGTTCAAGGTTAAATTCGTACTATTAGTTTAGTTTTGTTCTTTGTTCCGTGGGCTTTTATTAAATGATCCTAGCTAAAATAAAAGCTAATTTAGGACAGTATAGGTAATAGATCTCACTCCATTCATAACATGCATTCAGATACTTTAAAATACTACATCAGCCCAGTGTAATCAGATATTTCTTTAGCAAATACCAAACGCCCAATTAAGGACAGATGGCTCACCTACTAACCATACAAAAGCTAATGGCTTATCTCAAACAGAATTGGATTTGAGGCCTTTTGATTTGTTATGTTGTTGTGCTTTATGTTTTGATTGGTAACCTTTCAGCTATCCATTGCCTACTAAGTACAAATAAAAATCCAAATCTAAAGATAAGGTTAATGCCAGTATCTTATATATTACACCACTTCAGCACCTTTAACCCTAATCTTGTTCACAGATCTTAGTAAATATTTACAATGTGTTCATCCCATAACCTTACAGAGTGCTTAGAAATGAGGTAAGCAAACTTTCCCAGCGAACAGTTCCGAGATAACTGTGATCCAGAGGGACAAAACAAACAGGATGTAGGAGACTCCAACTTGGTGACTGTTGGGCAGTTGGTACGGCTGACCACCAATCTCATCTACATGGAAACCCATGGGGAATATCACTGCGGCCAGGCAGAACAGCACCACTGCAACATTCGTAAATGCTTAATCAAATGAATAATATATTTTTAACAGCAAATGATAATTCTAACAATAACTGGACCAGCCTTTTATATGATATATTGACGTGAAGGGAAAAATACACAATTTAACAATTTTTTTTCTCAACTATGGTATTTATCAGGGCTGTACTTCAAAGGTGGACACGGCTCTTGAAAAATAAACTTTACCAAAAATTATTATGGGAATTAAATTTTTGAGCCAAGCCTTCATTCTTGCGATTGTCGAAAATGTCTGCAAAGATTACGCAATTGAAAATCACAATTTCGTTGTGATTGCGGCAGACAATGAGAAGTCTACACAAATGCAAAATATGTTCATGATTTCACCGCCACCACAAGAGACGTTCATGATTTTACCACGATCCTAAGAGATGAAGATGATGTCTCGGCAAACGGGAAAGAATTCAGTGTTTCGCCGCCATTGCTAATACAGTGGCCTATTTATGGATTTTGGTAGCTAACTTACCTAAGCTAATTAGGGTGTGTTGCTCCTAGTGGGTAAGGTTTCAGACTTGCGGAAAGGAAAAGTTCTATTTCCAACATATTCACAAAATATGATATGGATTTGAAATGATTTAACCTTAAAATCGTGAGAGAAATACCTTAATTCAAAATGCCACTTTTGACAACAATAAAAATACCCCCACCGCAGCAATCCTGCAGACATAGCGAATTTTCATTTGCCTGATTGGATTTACACTAAAATGTTTCCTTAAAAATATCACATTTATTCCCTATTTCAATATAATTAGTTTAACTACTTAGGTTTGCTGCAACAAGGAGGGTAAAAAAGTGTTTTTTTGTTGTAAAATGTTAATGGGTACTGTAGTTTGGTAAGAAATGAATGTATTTTCCAAATTTGGTCAAAATATGTTCATAAACAAGCAAACTACAACAGTTGACGTTTGAGTTTTTTTGAATTTTCTCCGTAACCATTAGACGGATAATAACTCTTCAATATACTAAATTATTTTTTTTTAAGCTCTACAAAATGGTTTGGAAAGAAATTGTGAAATTTTGTGTTTTTAGGGTCAAAATGGGAAAAACCTATTTTTACCCCATAAAACTCCCCATAAACCCCCGTTCCCATAGTCCGACCATGCTGGTTTGCAAACTCGTTCGAATAAATGTAGGTTTGTTTACACTTTTGTCCCAAATTTAATCAAAATTGGATCATTTTTGCTCGGGTTATCGTGCTAACGGACACATATATATATGAATTTATACGGATGGTATTTTTGGCCTCTAGGGACCTCAAAACAAAAAAGTAAATCGGTCCCGGGTCCAGGTCTTACCATAAGTACTACGGTAACAGCTTATTCCCTATAGGCCTATGGGAAATTCGCTAAAAACCACATAGCTTCTAACTTCATAGCCTGTTGGTTATTAGGCTTATTTTAAGATACTGTTGTGTAAGGAATCAGGATTCAAATTAACAACTTACTTGCAGTGAATCCGACCCAGCGAGCATAGGGGATGACATTCCTATCCCAGTGTGAAGAGGCTAACAGAATTATGGTTGTTGTGATGCAAATACAGCCAACAAAGATGCAGACCAAAGCCAATAGCCACTCAGGCTGGAGATCGGGTGTGAAACAGATTTGGGGTCGGTTGTATAACGTCATGCACGTCCACATCAGGCCTAATCTTGTGTCACCTGTAAAACATTAGGCCTATAACTTAGGCTACCATAGTGATGTGCATATCGATACGGATAATAAGTTATCGATTCAAGGGACTGGAAAGTATTGATATTTTGTATCGATGCATGGGAGCGATTGTTGAAATGCCCGTATCAATAAACCTATAACCAATATCGTATCGAACATCGTATTGTTTATCTATATAAATAAAATTACAATTTTGTCTGTACATTGCTTAGAATCATGCAGTTTTTGGTTATTTTTACGTTTCATAGCCTAAGAAAGCCGAAACGAGTCTTATCTCAATTTCTGTCTGTATATCTGTCTTGTCCATTCTGTGACTCTGTCTGTAACGCCAAATTGTCATTTTACGCGGCCTACTCCTAGGAAACTAGAGTACCGATCAAGGTTCTAATAGTTTTTCTGTATTTACTGGATTGGTGAGAGTGTCTTGGGCTATAAAAACATGGCCTGGCTTCTTTGAAAACAAAATAACGAACCATCAAAAACCCAATTTTGTTTGATTTTTGACAAATTTTCTCCCAATGTTTCCTATTACATTTGATGAAATAACGATCAGCTGTTTGGATTAGTTCTCACTTCTAGCTGTCACTGATATGTTTACAAAAACCGCAACCATTTTCCGATCAAGTTTTGTCAGCACATCCAAACCAAGTGAGATTAGAAACATTGTGCCCTACTTAACCTGTTTAATTAATCGCAAGTGCAACGAGTGTTCTTGAGTTTTTATTAGTGCTGGGAAACTAAAATTTTTAAATCGTCATCACCAATACTTACAAAAAGGTTTCCGCACTCATTTATAGCCCTTCAAGGACAGTTGTGTAAAGTGCAAAGTAAAAAATCACAACTGCAGTGGGTGATCGTGGATGTTGCTGCGATCATGGAAGAACTTTCTGATTTCACTGTGAATCGTAACAGAGGTTTAACTTACAGATGTAGCTAAACTCGCTTTTCCAAAGTGTAATTTTTTGTTTCTACTTACTTACATTTCGACAACGATATCGGTACATTTTTTCTACTTAGGAAGTAAAACTACAAACGTCCAAAACCCCAGATTTGTGAGTTTTCTATCACATTTCCTCCGAATGTTTGCTAGATATATGTATTGATTATCGATTAGAGATTACGTAGGCCTAATATTTTATAAGAAACCTTTGTTTGGATAAAGGTGGTCATTAATATGTTAACATTAAAAGTTAATTACAAATAATGCTATTAATGGGAAATAACTTTGATTTTCGAAAACTTAAAAAAAAATAAAACCAAGTGAGATTATAATAACTACGGTACTGCACCACATCAAGTGAAAGTTCTTTTGAGAAAACCATAGGGAGTTTTTAAAGCTTTACGTTGTTAACATAAATGTTACATGTTTTGTGGCCTGTGTATTTATTTATTTATATATTTGCCAACGGATTAACACAAATAATACAGGTTGATTACATGGACAGTTTGAATTGTTCTTAAGTACTATAGTTCTTTTCATAAATGTAAACGTTGGTTTATGGTACTGCTACTTTTCCTTAGAACCGGTGGTAGCAGTAAGAATCATTTTTACGTACAAACACATCACTATTTACAACTATAGTTATCGTTAGTGCTGCACCTTATTTCTTATTAAATTTAATTGATGTCTTACTGTATAATTTTTGCGTTTTCTGTCTGGACTCCAAAATGTTAGTTTATCCTATGAAAATGATCAAACATTAGTGAAAGATTTTTTTAACAAACCATCATGATTTTTAAAGCTTGGCTTTGTAACGTATAAATGTTTTGTAGACTGTGTATTTATTTACTTATTTATATATTTGCCGAAGGATTTACACCAATTTTACAGTTTGAAAAATCCATTATCATAAAATTTGATGACAATATAAAAACTTTCAAATAATTATTTTGTTTGTAGACTACTTTGCTTTGGTTATTTAAAGCGTATCAAATCCCTTAATTCAATTCTTTATTTGTGTGTGTATGTCTGTTGGTAACGCATTAATGTCTTTATTTCTCAGTGTTTCGTGGAAAAGACAAGATCACCTTTGTTAATGAAAATTTCAACCCGAATAAAGTGTGCAGTAGTGAGGTTGAGGTGGTATTTTCAGTGTGAAAAGTAACTTTCAATTACACGCCTACCTTAGGGCTATGCCTCATATATCTATAAAGCAAGTCCTTTTATCATTAGATGTAATATATGGACTAACACGATCGGGTGACGTTTAATTGCGAAGCATTCGTTTTGGCTTTGAAACTGTCAGATATTGTATTTGCGAAGGTTTATATGTATTCCTATACAGTAGTAGTTTTGGCAGCATATCTGGAAAAATGCACACTAAATATGCAAACCAACTCCTGTTCTGAATATAAGGTTTCAACTTACTGCAAGATTCCCGTACGTAGAACGGGCAAACAGCTAGTTTATTAATATAAATCTAATTTTTTAAGGTAAATAATCTTTCCTCCTAGCTTTTTCCCCTCAAATGTAATATAGTGAAAATTTGATATTTTATCATCCTACCATCCTCAAAAACACTGATATAACATGCAAATCCTCAAACCTAGCCTATGCACATCAGGAGGGCCATCATTAATGGAAGTTGTACCCTCAGTATCCATATTATATTATTAAATGTGTACGTAACTTAAGCCTAACTCCCACCATTATAAGTAGGCCTACTTTTTTCTAAAAGTCAATTGATTATCCATGTGCAAGTTTTAAAATTAATTTATCAATTCTAAAACACAAACTAGACACATAACTTAGGCCTAGGCCTATTATTAACTGTTAATACTGTTCAATGAAATGGCGACCATACAAAGTAGGTATTTTAAGCCAAGCATGAATGGAGATGAGTGGCACGATCTTGTAGTCTTGTTAGTGACTAAGGCCGACGTTCCTTAGACGCAGCTGTTAATTAATAGCCCATACAGCTAATGGCAACTAAGGGACCTACAGTTTTTGGTGGAATCCGAACCACATTTTCCCTTGGTTTAAAAATTTGTATTAAGTATCAGGATAGTACCGCGGGTAGTCGTAGTACTCACTCGTGTGGACGTTAATCCACACCAGGGAGTAGTGCATCCACAGGACATGCCTATAAATATCCACAATTCGTGACCTCCTAGTAGCTGGATTACAGGACGACGCCACCCGTCCCTATGGTTTGTTATTTAACCTAGGTCTATTTTTATGTATTTTTTATTTATGTTATTTAGGCCTACTAAGTCCAGCTACCCTCAACCCTCCGGGCATGTCTGTTAGGTCCATGCTGGTATTTGAATACTTCGGTGAACTAAAATTAATAGGCTAGGCCTATATGTGACTCCTTACCTCCAACATCAGTGATAATCCAGTCAGGCATAGCTAGGCTAACTATGGCAAAAACATCAGCAGCCATGAACAAAGTGCCTGATATTAACGTCAGTTTATCCATATTCAACTTGAAATATGTTCACAAACGTTGAAAAGTTTAATCATCAAACTATAATATTATAACGAACATTAATAACAGTTTAAACACTGTCTTTAATTGCACAAACGAAACAACAAACGACAAACGAGTATTTACGTTTTGATGATTATCAAGGATCGTCAGCTAAGGTTGGTTGTTGGTTGTTTTGTTTTGACAGTGGAGAGTGAGCAAATTCTTCTTCTTTTCTATGGTTTTGCAGACAAGGCTTATTGCCATGTAACTCTAGTGTACTACACTGTATAATTAAGTATTGCTGATAAATATGCAAATAAAATTCAAAATAGTGTTTCAAACGACATTATAACAGCAGCGAAGGAAACACAAAGGGAACAGAATATAGGTAGGAATATTGCTAACGATGCTATTATCGGTATACCTAAACGTATAACTTGAGCATTTGCTAGCAGGCTTCAAGTTCAAGTTTTGCAGCTAGGGTCTAACATCTCCTGGATCCACGATGCATAAAACATCTGTAAGGTAAGCATATATGGATATTTTTTATCACTGAAAGACATAAAATTTCCTCTAAATTCTTTCAAAGTTTTAGTTTTTACTTGACAATTGATTTGTGCTGGTAAAGCTTGAATTTTTTGTATAGCAGAGAGTGGTTAGTTTTTTGAGAAATTCCCATAGGGATAAGCTATTACCGTAGTACTCATGATAAGACCTGGACCTGGGACCGATTTAATTTTTCGTTTTGAGGTCCCTATAGGCCAAAAGCACCCTCTGTTCAAATTCAAATATGTATATATATATATATATATATATATATATTATATATATATACTGTATATATATATTAGTATAATAGCATGCTTTGTACTTTACTGTTTGGTTTTATATTTAGAGGATGCGTTTTTGTTTATGATTGTATCGTTTTATTTGGTTAAACGGGGTTTTAAATTACTTAAATAACTAGAAACAAATTGTAAACAAAACACGACCTCTACAGTGTACCGGACACAGGGCCGCGTTAAGGATCAGTGGAGCCCTGGGCAAACCCAAGATCAGCGCCCCCTTTTTTCCTAGTGCTGGCGGGCGCCCCCAAACCACCGGCACCCCTGGGCATATGCCCAGTCTGCCCGTTTATAAAAGTGGGCCTGACCGGACAGAACTAACTATAAAATTAGCTTCAGCTTTTCCATAAGGATAGAATATATACTAAGGGAGTAGCCTAGGTTTTATTGTTAAAGGTTCGAACTGTTTAAGTGAACCAAGGACGACTATAATAGGCAGCGCGCACAACAATGTTATAAATCTTCTGTCCTCGCAGCCAGGAAAAATAATAATAATTCAGTGCAGGTGAACGATTTTTATTATTCTGTTCAATCTCTGGAATAATAATACCCCCACCGCAGCAAACCTGCAGACTAAGCGAATTTCCATTTACCTGGCTGGATTTCTACAAAAATATTCCCTGAAAATTGTCAGATTTTTCCTATTTAAATAACATTAAGTTTAATTAGCACCTAGGTATGCTGCCACAGGGAAGGTAGGTTTTTTATTGAAATGTTGATAGTTTAGTATGAAATTTAAAAAATTGCCAAATTTTATTAAAATATATCCATAAACAAGCAAACTATAAAAATTTTATTTACTCTCCATAAGAATAACATGGGCATTTTAAATGCCTAAATTTCTGTTTGTCGGTCTGTTTGTGATTTTTAAGAATTATTTTATATCTTGGGCATTTTTAAAGATGGAAATTTCAAAATTGCTATAAAAGTGTACGACACAAAGTTCAAAAAGATCGAATAAAAAATAACTGAAATATCATGATTTTAAGTTGTAAAATGAGGTAAACCTCTTTAAAACCTTTATTTAGCCTTATTCCAGCCAATTTTAAATCGTGATATTTAAGTTATTTTTAAAAACAACATTTTGAACTTGATGTTGTTTTATGAAAATTTGTTAATGCTAAATGAAAGACGCGTTGTTGAATTTTTTTCCTAAAATATGAAATTTTTTTATTTGAGTTTAAAAAGTTAAAACTGCTGCTGTTTTGAAATTTTAAGTTGCATTAAGATAACTTTCTTTTAACATGGGTCTCTTTCACCTTAACATACATACCACGTTTCATAAAGATTGGCTAAACAATCCAAAGAAAAAAATGTTAATGTAAAACTTACTTAATGGTTTATATCTGGTTAACGAAGCGGTTTTGGATAAAGTGTTATTCTAGATTTCTCTTAATTTTCACTACGTACGACTTACGTTAGATTTTGTGTTTTCATAGTATCTTTGACTAAGATACCTTGAAGAGATCGCGTACGCAATACAAATAATAGGGATATGATGAGAAATAATCTTTTTCGTCCTTATACCCTTTCAACTATAAAATCAAATATATCACGGATTTTGAAGTCACGAAGAGACGCAGGTTGCTAGTTACTGATAAAATGAAATATTCCCTAATCTGGGGTGTGATTAATTACACTACACTGGTTGAATCAATTTAAACTGTGAAAATGAATATTTTCTCCTTCACTATACTAAGAGAACGATGATCTTTATTTGCTTTACATTTTTGACATTACTGCAATTTCGACATTGTGTTAATTAATTTAGTTAGCACAGCAATTGACATTTTTCATTTAGTGATGTAATGTGTTTGTTTATTATGTAATGCCGATTTAATATTTTTATGAATTGGAATTCTACTGTGTCCTTTTTCGCCTTTTTATGAAGATGAATTGCTAATTTACAGGTAATCAACTTGAAACTTAGCCTTAAGGTTATAGCAACTATTGGTTATTACCGAAGCTAGGGTGGATTACCTGACAGATTAATCACTTGATCTTGGCATTGCATTTTATTGAGGAAGGCTGTTACCCATATATTGAGCATTCGTGGTCACACCAAGAAAACATTGTGTTGTATGGTGGGCCAAAACTGTTGATTTGAGTGTTGTGTTTACAGATATAAGGCTTTTCTTGAATTAAAATACCGATATTGAACTAACGACATTTTTTTAAGATAATCCTTTAATAATCCAACTGCTCGGTAAGTGTAGGTAAAATATTTTTAAGAGTAAACTATAAATATGCACATCTGAATAAGACAAAATTAGTAAAATAAAATTATGACTGTCATGAATGTAAGTATAGTCTTTGATAGCAAAATTGCGTACCTTTTTCCACATCACATTTTATTCCATATTCACTTTAAAAATCACGAACTTAAAATAATATTATTTTTATAGTAGTTTCATAGTTATTTTATTTTGTACTCGAATCGAAAAGTACTGGAATCGGTATAGTTAATTTCGATTGTAAAGGCAATATAAAGGAAACTCACGTTTTATTTACAATGCTTATGATTTAAGTTTCGGTGGAATTTCAATGTATTTATGATGGCAATTTTAACCTGGCAATCCACAACACATTAATTTATTTTACGGTCAAAGGTAAAAATCACCCGTTTATAATAGGCAGCCTACTTGCAATAAACATTGTTTTGACAATTTGTTTAAACTAAAACGGCTGAAAATGTTTGTTTGAATTCTTATTTACATCAAATAAATATAGTATTACTAAACATTTATTAATTTATTTATTTCACTGCTAAAACAAAGTTTGCTAACAATTGCCTGAATACTTCGGGGATTAAGTTTGGTAAGAGAGAGCCAAGTAAAATGGTCAGTATTTGATCGGAACTATTTTTCCCTATATCGAGTCATATTCAGTGCAATCTTTGCTCAATACTGTAGTAACAACTGATGTTTTCCATTTATACTGTATTTTGTAATTTGCTAGTGTACTGTGGATGGTTTGTTAGAACACATGTTACAAGTCTTTTGTTTACTTTTACCTTATTATTTTCAAGCAAACCCATAACACATAAGGCCAATGTAATTTTTTTCGAACGAGTTGTATAGCGAAATACGAGTTTTCCTGAGGTCAATCATGTTTTTACTATAAGTCCCTAATTCTAAAATTTTGTCTAAATCCTTCGGCTGGATTTCGAGATAAAGATTACAGACAGAAAAAAACCAACAGAATAGCTCGTATTATGGTGCCGGTATTCGATCAAGATTCTAAAACAGTAAAACATGAGTATACAATCTTGAATTTAGCTCTTTTTACACTAAAACCAATTAATTAATCAACAGTGCTTGTGAATTCACATTACAATCAATCTTCATAAGAAGTGTTAGGGGTGCTATTTTTTATAGACAGAGACGTTGAGGGAATTTTTACCTGACATACAGGATATTATTTATTTCGCCGCGGGGATAAAATCCCTCCCTACTCCCACCTAGAACACACGTTTCTCGACTCGACTCGCTTGTTCTTGTTCCTCTTGTCGTCACGTCAGTGTCAGATGCGCGTTCGGTGCTGTAGGGTCTGTGTTGTCGCATGAATCAGTGTTCTTAGTTCCGCACGAGTGGTAGTGTTTGGATATTTGTTTACCAACATTTATGTAAGTGTATTTTACTATTTTTCCAATTTTACAAAATTAAATATAGGACTAGTTTAAAAAGTGGGACACACTTTATACAATACTTTGGTAGTAAGGTTACAGATATGTTATGGTGCATTTTATGTATAGTAAACATAATAACATAATTAGGTACTATTCATTAGTACATTCAGAATACTATATTGTTGCACGATTTAACAAAACTACCTCATTTAGTTGTATTAATTACAATGTAAAAGGAAATCATCCAGTTGATTCTTGTTTAGTTTTCAGTATGCAAATCCTACACAGCTAATTATTGTCGCTGAGAAAATGTGTTTTAATATGTAGTAATAAGTAATGGACCTATAAAATATCTAGATATTCTTTGATTTTCCAATATCTTAACTAATACATTTTACAAATTTTATACAGTACACAAGATTCTTGTATACCTAGTTTGATTTAGTAGGCAAATCCGAGAAAATGTGTTTTAATTATGTAGTAATCAGTAATGGACCTTTAAAATATAGATATTCTTTGATTTGCCAATAACCTAATCTTATTATGTTGACTAGGCCTAATACATTTTACAAAATGTTATGCAGAATCCACAGGACCTGTGTTTGATACTATTGTCAACAATTGTTTGTACGCGCACTTGTTTTGTGGTTCCACAGATTTTTTAATGAATACCTTACCAAATACAGTAACCATTTTAAAATAGTGGTTTTCTGCACCCAACCTTCAGATTACAAATTTTTAGTTTCCAAACCAAAAAGATCACACAAAGAAGTTCTTCAAAAAAGTATCAGTGGTATTTTTTCTTTAGTTTTGACTGGGAAAATAGCTACATATTAAATTGATGCATACCACAGAAAACATACTATGCATACACACTTGAAATTAATATTAGATTCTTCGCAGTCTTTACCACAGATAACATACTACTATTACATTGGTTTAGTAAGTATGTTTTCTGTGTCTTTCCACAATGATCATTGTCAGAGTATGTAAGTTATTTGAAGCTACGTACACAGCAATTAAACCGTTGTCTAAGGGATAGTTGTAAGCATTTCCAATCACGATGAGAAAAAACCGAGTTTTCCCGACGTTTCGGGATCTGAAATCTTACCACGTCTTCAGGTGAGGAAGTACATAAAGCACAAATAAGATGAGATGCCAATACTGGGAAATAATAAAAAATCCTCTCCTAGATCTAAATACAGTAATAATCAAAACAAACTACCTGGAAAAACGCAATACTAAGAAGCAGATTCCAGATCCTGTAACTTTATAAAACTTTGTTTTTTTTTACATCTAAATGGAAAATTGTCCGCAAAAAGAAATCGTCCAACAACAAATCGCCATCAACAAAATAAATTCAAACAGAACAATTATTAAGTCAAAGAAGAAATTACAAAATCTAGTGAAAAATACATTATAAAATTGGAAAATCATTCAAATCATCTTGCACTTAATTTATTGGACAATCACAACACCATTTACAGACTGAAGCGACATACGATATGGACCTCCCATTCAGATTCGGCTATAAGTGTTATCAAAATTCTCTTTGTTAGCTAGTGTTGACAGTGGTCAATCACTAGCTCATGTTCTTCAAGTTAATGTTGTATTATTATTTACGCCACACTACATTATTTTGACGAACTTCCCACGCAAGGATTTAGTCCAGAAAACAGCTGTTTGCCGCCAGCTTATTTAAATGGGGTTTCATTGCGTACTACTGTACTGTAATGAGTTTTACCGGACACCAATCAGCTGATTATACTGCATTTAGGTGGCAATGAATGGTTATAAACAAAAACATAACCTCTCTTAGAGATTATGACTAGTGATTTTTAGTCCTTTAGTTGGTGGAAATATATAAGGATTTGTACAGATTTATTAGTATGGCGTAAACTATCGTACGTAACTCGTCCAAAATGTGTGTACCGGACTCGTATGGTAATCCCTTACTCGACTTCGTCTCGCACGGAAACGACCACACTCGTCCGGTAAACACTTATTTTCAGGACTAGTAACGTAATATACTATTATATCATTTAATTGCTTATTGTTCAACTTGAACAGATTGTAAATTAAATAAAGAAAAAAAATAATCCTTTAAAAATCTGATATTCGTATAAAAACAGCTGGATGGGAATCAGATGACAGCGATCATTGTCAGCTGTTATTAAGTTCTCAGTCGAAACAATAAATGTTGACTTTTCTCAGTGTTACCAACAGACGATGTTACCAACGTTACCGCCCTAGAGAAGGGACGTCTGGGATTAATTCCCTCAATTGACGGAATTGTTTAGCAGGACGTGCCTTGATTGGTGATAGGTAGGCAAGGGCGCGACGACCAAAGTGACCCTGTAAGCTGTAGTTGGTTTATTATAACTTCTCTTTTATTCTTCTATTCTATTGTCATTCAATTTAAGATGTACCTCTCATTAATCGGTGATGTGTGAAAAATCTATATCGTGGATATTTACCATTTACAGTATTTTAATCCCAAACTAAACATGGCTGTAACCACAACCACAGACTAAATGCTACAACCAAAGTTTTTACATCTGTTGCGTCATGATCACGTAGTTACCATGTCGAGAAAATCACAATTTGTTTTGTATAAAATCACAAAAAAATGTTTTCCAGCCGGCTCCAGGGACGGTACAATCAAATAAGTACGGTACAGTATAGAAAGTCATAGGTGCGTTTTACGTCCGTGAGAACCTTTTTTACGATGATAATGTGTGTGTCCCAGTGTGTTTATGTTTGTTTTCGTGTACCCCTTTATGACGTCCAAGAGACCAACTATCGTTACAATGTATTTCTCAAAAATGCCACGTTTATAATTATGACACGACCATAGTCAATAGGTACCTTGATTGTAGCTACAAACATTTTTTTATTTGGGACAAAAATAAAAGGCAATTAAACCAATTTTTTGTCTTACCAGTTCAGGGGCAAACCACAACAAATAAGTGGAAAATTTGCCAAATGTCTATTTCTTAAGATTTCGGTAAGTAAACGACCGGTTTTATAATTGTTTGATTTTGATAAATTAATTGTGTGACCCTTTAGGTTGGAGAAATGATGGATATGGATTAGTAACTTAATTATATCTGACCTAATTGTCAGAGAGTAGCATCGGTTTCAATCCTTGAGATAAGTCGACAGCGTTTTAGAGACGGGGCCCAGCGATCCGTGATGTTTTAAAATGACTGGCTAAAAATCAGCTGATTTTCGTCAGTAACCAAGCTATCATCTCATTCATTCAACATCATTGTTCACTCATCTTCCCCAAATGTGTTATCGCCGTGAACATTTAGAGCAGTCTAATTTATTGTACTAGGTGAAACCCGTCGAAATCGACGGTTACTTAAGTATTAAGGGTCAAAAGAAACAAAAAAAAAAAACTATTTGAATAATACAATATCATACAACGTTGCATTTGAAATGGTGAGTTCTAAGTCTCACTTGAATCAACATCTTTCTGGTAGTGGTAGTCTATATAATTTTAAGATCCAAGACTCTTTTTGTTTTACCATCGGATTGGACCGTTAATACCCTCTAACATTGAATTGAACCAATGTATACCGAACTTTATATATACAACGTAAACACAGCTGTTACTCGCAGAATGGGTCAAAGATTCGTGAAATGCGACCAACTGCTGATGCGCGATTTACATGTAGGTATCTTTACTCCATATCTTATTCCACTTATCTTTATTCCATACAACAAATGTAATGAACAAAAAAACAACGAATATAGGAATATACATGAACAAATTATCTCCATAGCATAAGTTGCTACTTATTAGGTTATCAGCATTGTGCAGTTCGTATACTATTTATTTTTCAAATGAAACTTGAATTAATATAAAACATTCATTTGGTTAAAATAATACATCGGTTTGATTAACATAAAATAGTTTATACAGGCCAACTATCAGTTCTATTTCATGTAAAAAATTAAACAGCCCCTAAATAAAATACGAAGATAAACAGTATTTGTTATTGCTGACAATATTCCCGTGGCGTAGCACGGGCGGTTAACTAGTGATATTAATTGCGTTAGTTACCAAATATGGTTGATCATTCAATTAATAAAAATATTTCCCATACTGTACGTCATCGGAGTTATTATTAGTATGTTATCTGGTATCTCTTCCTTTGGAAAAACCTTTAGATAGTATTAAAATCGTATCGGTGGATCTTTTGTAGTTATTCACTTCCGTGATTTCATTAGTGTAATGCAGATTTATCTATGACTAGCTGTACCCGCGGGCTTTGCCTCGTTTAACTTCTTAATTTTCAAGATGAGCTCGTTCGCATGGCTCAATCAAGTCCTGGTTGAAGTTCGTTCGCTACGCTCACTCACCTTTAGGTTGGAGCTCGTTCGCTGCGCTCACTTGCCTTCAGGTTAGCTCGTTTGCTACGCTAACTCGCCTTCAGGTTGAAGTTTGTTCGCTACGCTCGCTCACCTTTTGGTTGCAAATTAGCTATCCTATACTCTAATACGAGCAATGTTTGCTTGTATGTATGTATGCTTGCTTGCTTGCTTGCTTGCTTGCTTGCTTGCTTGCAGAAAGATCTCGAAAACGGCTCCGACGATTTTCTTTAAATCTTGTAAATAGTTTATTTCTGGCCTAAAAACGAGTTTACTGCAGTTAGAACTGCCAACAAAAATCTAATTACGTAGAAAAATGAAACTGAAAGTCACATTTTTTTAACACTAGTCTTATGGGTTGCTAAGTAACCATCTTGAGTGAATTAAATAAATAGCTTATTCCCTATATGGGAAATTCGCTAAAAGTACAAAGTAAACAAAAGACTTGTAAGTTGTCTATCCACAGTATACAGTACTAGCAAAACAAAATACAGTACAAAAGGAAAAACATCAGTTGTTACTATTGAGCAAAGATTATACTGAAGATTACTGATACATTGTAGTCAAGGGTAGCAGTATGGAGTGTGGGATCTGTTAATGACGATTAGATTACGGAA